TATCAGTTCATGTATATATGTGTCCATACATACCACACACACACACACACACACACACACACACACACACACACACACACACACACACACACACACACACACACACACACACACACACACACACACATCATTACTGTGATTATTATTATTATTATTATTATTATCATTATTCATATTCATATTCATATTATTATTATTGCTATCATTACTGTTATTATCATCATTGCTGTTATCATTATAAGTATTACTATCATCATTATTATCATTATCATCATTATTATCATTATCATCATTATTATCATTATCATCATTATCATCATTACTGTTATTATTATTATTATTATTATTATTATTATTGTTATCATTACTATTATTATCATCATTACTGTTATTATTATCATTATCATCATCATTATCACCATTATCATCATCATCATTATCATCATTATCATCACTGAACATAGCTTAAGGCCCTTCCCTGAAGTAAACGACGACTACTACTAATAAGTAAGCTTGTCCGTCGTTAAACAATGTATCATTATTACTGTTATTGTCATTAATATCATATTCATTACATTTGATGTTAATGACAATAACAATATTAATAGTACTGATGATAATGATAACGTCAAAGATAATGATACTGATAATAGTATTATCATTATCATTATTATCATTGTCTTTATTATTATTAGCATTATCATCACCATCATTATCATCATTACTATTATCATTAATAAAAACAATAGCAGTAGTGATAATGGTGATGGTGTAGTTGTTGTAGTAGTAGTAGTAGGAGTATTAGCAGGAGGAGGAGGAGTAGCAGTAGTAGTAGTAGTAGTAGTAGTAGTAGTAGTAGTAGTAGTAGTAGTAATAGGAGTAGTAGCAGTAGTAGTAGTAGTAGTAGTAGTAGTAGTAGTAGTAGTAGTAGTAATAGGAGTAGTAGCAGTAGTAGCAGTAGGAGTAGTAGTAGTAGTAGTAATAGTAGTAGTAGTAGTAGTAATAGGAGTAGTAGCAGTAGTAGTAGTAGTAGTAGTAGAGTAGTAGTAGTAGTAGTAGTAGTAGTAGTAATAGGAGTAGTAGCAGTAGT